TACACATTCTACCACCCCATCCAGAGTGATATATTCCTAAAATACAAGCCTGACTGCACCAGTCTTCCTTTAAAAAAAAAAAAAACACACAGCAAAATATACACCAATTCAACAATTTCTACATGTACAAAACCCACTGCTGTTGAGTCCACTGTGACTCACAATGACCCTCATCGGGTTTCCAAGGCAGTAAATCTTTACAGAAGTAGACTGCCTCATCTCCCTTGCAAGGAGCAGCTGGTGAGTTTGAACTGCCAACCTTTTGGTTAGTAATTAAATGCCTTAGGCACTGTACCACCAGAGCTCCTTACATGTACAATATAGTGACACTGATTACATTCTTCAAATTGTGCAGCCATTCTCACACAAACACTCTCCTTTTCTGATTTATTCTTCCCCTATTGACATAAACTCACTCCCCCGTCAGCTTCTTATCTAACCTTTTGAGTTGCTGTTACCGATTTGTTCCCATATAGTAAGTTCTTTAAAAGAGCACAAGGTTTAGGGCAGCCGTTCTTTCCTATTTAACCTAGTATGAGTCCTCCATTTGAAAATATTGATATAGATGATTAAAATACTGATATGGGTTCTGAGACTAGAGAAGATATAAAATGTATTAAAAAACACCTTTTTTGCTAGTCTGTTTCCTAATTTTCCTGCAGTACATATGTATTATCACTTTTCTGTAACAAGGAATTTATAAGAGCTAAACCATTCTACTCAAGTCTCACCACCTTTAAGAAGTCTTTGCCCTCTCCCTCAGGCCTAAGTCACAAGCATCTGAGAGATAAGAGCTAACTTGACTGAGAGTAACGCTTCGCAAGCTGACCTTCTAGAAAAGGAGTTGGCTTCCTGCAAAGCTCCAGGAAAATTAGCTATGACCCGGAACTTAGTACAATAAAATCCTGTTGTTGTTGTTGTTGCGTTGTTATGTGTCGTCAAGTCGGACCCGACTCATAGCGACCCCTCCTTGAGTTTCCAAGGCAGTATCACTATGGAAGTAGATTGCCCAACTTTCCTTCCGAGGAGTGGCTGGTGCGTCTGAACTGCCACCCTTCTGGTTAGCTTAGGCACTACGCTACCAGAGCTTCCAATAAAATCCTAGTCAACTGCAAAGTTGGGACCCAAATTCCCTGATCAAGCCAAGGTAGGGGATGGTGGAGAGTATACATAATTATGTTTGTCAATAAATGGAGCCCGGGTGGAGCTAACAGGTACTCAACTCTAGCCGAAAGGTTGGTGGCAAACCTACGCAGAGATGCCTCGAAAGGCAGACCTGGCCATCTGCTTCTGAGAGCTCACAGCCTTGAAAACCCTATGAAACAGTTCTACTCTGCACACATTGGCTCACCAAGAGTTGGAACTGACTTGACAACTGGACAATAACTAACAACAACAATAACACAAAACTGCAGCTAGAGATCAAGGTCACCAAAGTCAATAATTAGAAGGGTCCTTACACTTTCACTCCTGTCATCTTCACTCCTGTCATTTAAACTTCTAACCCTGATTCCTTTAAAGAAGGAAAAAAAAATCTTGTTTAAAAAATTTCAAAGTTGAAAGCCGCAAGAAGAGTACAATGAACACCCATCTGTCCCTCACCCAGACTGACCAATTAACACTGTACCACCTTTGCTTTCTCTTTCTCCTTGTCTCTCTTTCCTCTTAAGCAGACGAAACAAAAATATAAACAAATTGGAGACTCTATTATGAGATATATTTAAAATAATTTTGGCTGAACCATTTGAAGATTATTTGCAGACATTCTGATACCTCATCCCTAAATACTTCAGCCCGTATTTCCTAAGAACAAGGGCATCTTCCTACATTCTGCAATATAATCATCACACTTAGGAATTTTAATATTAAATGCAACATTGTTATCTAATAAAGTCCACCAAGGAGTACCTACTTTACTTAGTTGTATGTCATGTTACTTTGCCTTAGTTTAGAGCAGTTGTGCAGCCTTCTGTGCCTTTCAGGATACTGACATTTTTGAAGATGCTGGGACAACTGTTGTTGCAGAATGTTAAAACTTGGTTTTAAAAGAAACGATCTGGACTTTTCCTACCTTTTTATACCTCACTCTGAATTTCATTCTAGTGTACTAACTCTATTTATAACAAATTATTTAAAAAGTAAACAAAGAATTGCAGAGTTTGAATTGGGCTCAAAGACTACCCTCTCAAGTCCTCCCTGGTTATAGATGAGCAAATTGAAACCCTGAAGAGTTTGGAAACTTACTCACAGGTTTAAAATGGAGATCTGACCTCTTTCTCTCTACTGATCTTTTTAAAACATTAAACGATCTCCTAGTTTCTGTTAGATGATGAGACACTTTCAGACCATTTTTAGTCTCTCTCTCTCTCTCTTTTTTTTTTTTTTACTTTTATTGTGGTGAAAACCTTCATTGAATATAAGTTTAAAATATTACTGTTAGACATTTACTTAAAAAGTCCATTTTGGCATATTTTATAAAACAGCATCCTTCTTATTGCTTGAATAACTATTGCAAATGCCACAGATACGACTTTTTTCTGGGGCAAGTATCTTATTAGTTCTGGCCCAGAAAGAACAAAGGTATACAGAGACAAAGATCCACACAGGTAGGTCATGTGTGAAAGGGAAAGATCATACTCTGCTGGCAGTCTTGCTGTTTGATTTATTAATTCTGCAACCTTGAACAAATCATTAAATCCCTCTTAGATTAGTTTTCTTCATGTATACAACAGAAATAATAATTAGCAAAATTTTACAGAATGTTATCAAGATAAATGGAATTATAAATGATACTACTCCTCCCTGAACCTCATTGCTCCATTCCTAGTTTACATGACCATGGGAAAATGGCTGGTAGTGAAAAGCTTATAGTTTTATCCCCCGTTCAGCACTAACAATGTAAGAAAAATGAGGTCTACTAATTAAATGCAGTTTCTACTTAAAGGAATTTTAACTATTTATTACATCTTCAAAAGATACATTGCTCTAAATGCTGGTGCTTGCTTTTGAGTATGACACAGGTATGATACCAATTCTAGTAAAACACATACATACACACACACACACAAAGGATTTAGAATTAAATTTTCTAAAATGTTACCAGTAGTTATCTTCAGGTGGTAGGATTCTTAGGGATTTTTATCCCTTACTCTTCTGTATTTTGCAAAATTTGTATAATGAACAAGTAGTACTTTCATAATAAGTTATATATAATAAAGATTTTAATAATAATATATCTTATGAAAGGATTACATTCTAAAATTGTGTATAATTTCAAAATCCCCTTGAAATTACATTAGAAAGTCAAGGCCTCACTGGAGATAAACATACTCTCTCAATCCAGGAAATCCAACTGCTGTTTTCTTCATTTCAGCACAAGTTGTAAGTACTGGCATTTAAGCATCATGTACAAAAAAAAAAAAATCCCTAAACTCAGAACCACACTTACTGCAGCAAAGTGCTCATGCTGTAAGAGCCTACCTGGGCAAACAGCAGATACATGACTCCTATTTCATGCCCAAGTAGGACAAGTAAATGGTGGGTGGAATTGTTCTAAAATATTTAACTCATTACTCTTTCTCTTCTTTTTTCTGCCAAGTGTGTATGGTTGAATTTTGAAATGTTAATTGAACTAAGTATAAAGTGACTCCACTATAAACATAGCTTTTCTTTTCTTGAAGATAAAAGAGATGGGGTTAAACTCTAGCAATATTGGCAGTAGACCTGCAACTGACACAGGTGAGTGGGGGGAACCTTTAATTCAAGGCTGATGCACAACCCATTTACATGGGTGACGCTGTTTCAGCTGTTAAAAATACTACAGCTTTTCATTAATAATTGGTAAGTGGCTGCTGTCTAGGCCCTGAGCCCTCTGAGGTGCCCTAGTATCTTGATTTACCTTAGGACCTCTCCATATCTAGCAACTAAAGGGGATAACAGCATACCCTGCTCCAGGACTATGACTGGCGTCCACCTGATTGTTAAATATTTCTAACACTACCCTGTCTCCATCTATATCTCTCCTTCCATTGCTAGGCATATGCTGGTCACTGGCTACCACAGTTATTCCAGTACCTTAGTTCTACATTTCCAAAGAAAAGTAAATTTATATATCTCCATATCTATATCCACATATATCTATCTATATTTAATTTTAAGGGAAGAAAGTGAGAGCATCAGAGGGTAATTCTATTTCTTAGAAGACAAGGAATTTCATACTACTACTTCAGTAACTCAAATCACATGCAGATAAATTTATCAGGTATTCTGTTTTTCTTCCTGATCAATCCAAAAACTGCCTCATCCTCTCATTGCCTGACTGATCCTCTCACCTATCTAAAGCATATCATTGTCCCTACTCCTCATAGAAAAGAAAGCTAATTCTTGACACTAACAAGAGCAGAATTTTTATAAATAGAAGGTATAGAACTTTCAAAATGCATCTAATGACCTAAAAATGTCATCTATTATATAACACATCAATAGATGTATTAGAGTATCAAAATAACTTATTATGAAAGAGATTTATTCTTACTTACAAGGAATGAAAAATAATTCATTAAATAGCTAGACAAAACCTCATGTGTAAGAATAAACTAGATAACAGAACATCAAGAAAACAGTATAGTTTTAAAAATAAACAAAATCATACTTTTAAAAAAATAGTGATTTTAGTAAGTCAGAGAACAGAAAATTTCATGACTTTTTAAACTGACTTTTCTGGAAACTGGGTTTTCATGAGCACACATGGTACTTATAATGGCAAGTTAGTCATTGTATATGTTTTTATTATTGTTGTTGATCCTATTTTTCTCAGGATGCATTTGGTTTGCAGATATTTCTCTTTTTAGAACACTCCCCAAAAGGGAACTTTAGCAAGAGTTAAAAGTAAGCAACCCATCCATTAAACATGATAATTTTCAGAATCCTAAAAAAAATAAAGTAAAAGATGCATTTACTTTATGTAACTCATCATAAAATGTAGAAAAAGAATGCCACACCTGCATAGGTCCTGGAATACAAGACAGAACTCTCTCTATGTTCTCAGTGGTCACATCAACATCATTCACGGCAACAAGAACATCACCTAAAACCAGAAAAGCAATAAAGATAATTGTGTGAATACCCAAAGGCTAAAATGATCTAGAATTGGAACACTGAAAAGCATCTCTTCTGATGTATTTCCTTGAAAGGACAATGGAAAATGCAGTACCAGGGACTTGTCCAAAGTTATACAGCTTATTTGTGGCAGAGTTAGCCTCCCAATTTCACTCTTAAACTATGATGGATAATTAAATACAACCTATGAATATTTAAGGAGATGAGTATGCACGTTTTTGGTACAACTGAGAGAATTATGTAAACCCAAAGGACAATGAAAAATTTGTAGCATAAACTGAATATTGTGCTTAAAAAAACCTGAATCTAGCCACTTACACTCATAATAAAAAAATTTCAGAAGTAAAAGCTGAAATTTTAATTAAATTCATGTGGTACATCATAACTCAATATGCTGTGGTATACATACACTGTTATTACTGAGCTGACTTTACACACACAGCTATTTGTTTCAAAGCCCCAACAATATAAAAATCCACAGCATGTTTTGGTAAAACTATATAGTTCCATGGTTTTTCTTTAAACATATATGTTTATCAAACTCAGTGGCTTTAATAAAATAAAATCAGTGCTACATGGAAATTTACTTTCACCATTAAAGGTAATGGTAAAAACACCACTGAGCTAGAGTAATAGAAACATATATATATATATATATATATATATAAAAGTTATGTTTCTCATTGTTCCTAAATATATCATTAGGAAATTGGTCAATTAACTCATATTCATTAATCCACACTCAACAAACATTTACTGAGCACCTAATATGTGCCAGGCACAGTTCCAGGCACTGCAAATATAAAATTAAACAAAACAGACAAACATCTCTACCCTTCTTTGAGGGAGGAGGCAGATGATAAACATGCATGTATGTGAAACAGTGCTAGGAGACAATTTTCCATGGATCTATCATATTTCTGTGCATCTTGCAAGCTAAGGTACTGAGAATCTTTGTTGTGGATTACCTTTGCATTATGTGGGAATAGCAAGTGAAGGAGAATAACTCCTAAGATTTTTGTTCTAAGCAAATGGCTTTGCCAGGGACTAAGAGAAGACTGAGGGAAAAACTAGTTTGAGGCAGAAGCTCAGGAATTCAGTTATGGACAAGTTCAGTTAGATATCTAAGTGGAGATGTTGAAGAGAATATTGGATATATAAGTCTTAAGTTCAGAGGAGTCAGGCTGAAGACATAAATATGAAAGTCATCAGTACATAGACGATATTTAAAGCCACGAGACTGGATTATTATCCTGTCCTTCCCTCAAAGAAGACAACTGAGACAAGCTTATCATACATCTGAATACCCTATAAAAACAAACAAATCTATATAACATGAGATAGGGATCACACAAGTTACTTCAACCTCTGACAACCCAGAATATAATACATTAACCGATTGCCATTGAGTCATTTCTGAGTCCTAGTGACCCTATAGGGCAGAGTAGAACTGGTTTACAGGGTTTCCAAGATCATAAATCTTTGAGGAAGCAGAATGTCACATCTTTTTCCAGCAGAGCACCTGGGGTTTTGGACTGCTAACATTTGGGTTAGCAGCAAAACCCTTAACCATTGTGTATCCCAATCTGACTCCTTGGTAACAAGACCCATATGGGTCCTTCCTTCCTTCTTTCCTCCTCCCCTTCTCCCCTTTTCATTGTACCCTCCCCACCCATTTTTTAAAATCAAAAGCCACCAAATATGATCTAAATATACCTTAACTTTTAAACCAGAGTTTTGAAATTAACATCTTCACTCTGTTTTGTATTCTATCATATGGTTGTTGTTAGGTGCCATCAACTTGTCTCTGACTCAAAGTGACACTATGGACAGCAGAATGAAATACTGCCCAGTCTTGTGCTAGCTCCACGATCACTGCTATATCTGAGCCCATCACTGTAGCCACTGTGTCAATCCATCTTGTTGAAGGCCTTCTCCTCTTTGGTTGACCTTCCACTTTACCAAGCATGGTATCCTTCTCCAGGGAATGGTCTCTTCTTACAGCATGACCAAAGCAGGTGAGATGAAGTCTGGCCATTCTTGCTTCCAAGGAGCATTCGGGCTGCACTTCTTCTGGGACAGATCTGTTAATTCTTTTAGCAGTCCATGGTATTTTCAGCACTCTTCACCAGCACCACAACTGGAGAGCATCAACTTTTCTTCAATCTTCTTTATTCATTGCCAAGCTTTCACATGCATATGATGCAACTGAAAATACCATGATCTATGTCAGGAATACCTTAGTCCTCAAGGAGACATCTTTGCTTTTCAGCACTTGAAAGAGGTCTTTTGCAGCCAATTTGCCCAGTGCTATATGTTGCCTGATCTCCTGACTGTTGCTTCCATTGGCATTTATTGTAGAACCAAGTATTATGAAGTCTTTGACAACTTTAATCTTTTCTTATTTATGGTGATGGGGCTTATCTGTCCAGTTGTGAGGATTTTTGTTTTCTTTATATTGAGGTGTAATCCATACTGCAGACTGTATTCTTCAATCTGAAGACACTGAAACAATGTCCAGTGCAGTGCCAGAAGATGAACCCTCCAAGCTGGAAGCCACTCAATATGACTGGGAAAGAGCTGCCTCATCAGAGTAGAACCTACCTTAATGATATGGATAAAGTAAAGCATTTTGGGACCTCCATTTGCTGACATGACTCAAACTGAGAAGAAACAGCTGCAAACATCTATTAATAATAGGAACATGGAATGTACAAAGTATGAATCTAAGAAAATTGTAAGTTGTCAAAAGTGAAATGGAACGCATGAAGATTGACATCCTAGGCATCAGTGAGCTGAAATGGACTGGTTTTGGTCATTTTGAACCAGACTATATGATCTACTATGCTGGGAATGATAAATTGAACAGAGTGGCATTCTATCTTATGGAGAAGAGACTAAGTGTAGAGTGAGCAGTAGGAGTTTCTGAGGTTATCCTGTGAAGGCTCACAGAGACCTGCAAGAGATTTAGCTGCTCAGGAAAAGCAGTTCAGCTGAGAGTTTAGCAAGTGTGAGTAATTATGACCATCGACTATTGCAGCACTCTGGACAACCTGGTAGCTCTTTTAAAAGGTAAAAAATTGCATACTAAAATGAAATTCTAACTTCAGTTCAACTTGAAAAACAAATGCAACATGCTCTCTCCTCATTCCTTTTAAAAGTAAGGTTAAACAAGAGTACTATAGGAAATTGTTTATAGTTGCCGTGATTTAAAAAACAAAATGAGGAAAGGAACAATGAACACAACATCAAAGTATCAAAATATTTTAAACTTGCTCCCCCTATTAACTCAAACTCCATTGGATAATGTCTCAAATAACTATTTTTCTCCAAGCCCTAATGAATCCAAATCTACAACCAAGTGTTACAGGGGGTATTAGCTGAAAGTATCAAGTCTAACAAATCTTTAAAAGAAGGAGGCATGTATCATGATAAAAAAAAAAAAAAAAAAATGAAGAGTCAATATCAACATCTTAACCTCACGTCTCCAAGAATTAGAAAAAGAGCAGCAAAATAAGCTTACAGCCACCAGAAGAAAAGAAATAATAAAGTTAAAAGCAGAAATAAATGAGACAGAAAACAGAAAAACAACAGATAGAATCAACAAAGCTAGAAGTTGGTTCTTTGAAAAGATTACTAAAACTGACAAACCATGGCAAATCTAACAAAGGGAAAGAAAACAAAAAAAACCCAAACCCACTGCCATCGAGTCAGATCCAACTGATAGCAACCCCTCCTTGGGTTTCTGAGGTGTTATTACTATGGAAGTAGATTGCCCAACCTTCCTTCTGAGGAATGGCTGGTGGGTTTGAACTGCCAGTATTCTGGTTAGCAGTCAAGTGCCTTAGGCACTATGCCAAGAAACAAAAAAAGATCCTGGCTCACATGGCTTTATTGGTGAATTCTACCAAATGTTCACAGAAGAGCTGACACCAATTCTACTCAAACTATTCTAGAATAAAGAAAAAAGAGAATACCACTGAATTCATTTTATGAAGGGAGCATATCCCTGATACTAAAGCCAGGCAAAGACACCACTAAAAAAAAAAAAAAATTATAGACCAGCATCCCTCATGAATATGTTGTTGTTGTTAGGTGAGTCAAGTTACCTCCCGCTCATAGTAACCCTATGTGCAATGGAACAAAACATTGCCTGGTCCTGCACTGTTCTCATAATCTTTGCTATGCCTGAGCCCATAATCGCAGCCATTGAGGGTCAATCCATCTCATTGAGGGTCTTTCCCTTTTTCACTGACCCTCTGTTTTACCAAACATGATATCCTTCTCCAGAGAATGGTCCCTCTGACAACATGACCAAAGTATGTGAGATGAAGTTTGGCCACACTTGTTTCTAAGGAGCATTCTGGCTGTACTTCCAAGACAGAATTTTTTGTTCTCCTGGCAGTCCATGGTATTTTCAGTATTCTTTGCCAATACCACAACTCAAATGCATCAATTTTGTCTTCCTTATTCATTGTCCAGCTTTCACAAGCATATGAGATGACTGAAAATACCATGGCTTGGGTAAGGAACACCTTAGTCTTCAAAGTGACATCTTTGCTTGTTAACACTTTAAAGAGGTCTTTTGCAGCAGATTTGCCCAGTGCAATACCATGTCTGATTTCTTGATTGCTGCTTTCAAGGGTGTTGACTGTGGATCTAAATAAGATGAAATCTCTGACAATTTCAATCTTTTCTCCATTTATTATGATGTTGCTTACTGGTCCAATTGTGAAGTTTTTTTTTTTCATGTTGAGGTGTAATCAATCAATAGTCTTTGATCTTCAGCAGTAAATGCTTCACGTCATGTTCACTTTCAGCAAGCAATGCTGTGTCATCTGCATATTGCAGATTGTTAATGAATCTTCCTCCAATTCTGATGCTGCATTCCTCTTCATATAGTCCAAATTTCTTGATTATTTACTCAGCATACAGATTGAAGAGGTATGGTGAAATGTTCCAATACCT